TTTGTTAATGGTGGGAGTAAATTTTGAGAATGCAGACTTAGTGTCTTGTAAGAATCTAAACACAATAAATTTATTGTTGATGGTCAGTGAATGTGCCATTTTACTAAGAAATGGAAGTTAACTGCTTGAAAATCTAGATACTGTAGCTAGAACAGCTGCGTTACCTAAAGGCAGTTGTTGTGAATAGCTAACTGTAATTATGTGATTTGGAACCAGCACAGTGCATGTGAACCTTAGCAACTACAAGTATCTGCTAAATTGGCACCTTGGCTGCCTGGAAGATAATGGCTTCTAAACTGTATCTCTCAGGGATATGTGGAATGATTGCTGAGAATATGTAGTGATTCATATGTTGAGGTTTGTTTCTTGAAGTCTCATTTCTATTCCCATTTAAAAATGTCCTTAACTTTCTGAAATACTGCTAGAGTAAATAACAATAATTGTGGTAATTGAGTCTGTCTAAAGAAGCAAAATTGGTAAAGGTGTCTTTAATCAGAATCAGGTTTAAAGTAGGAATAAATTGAATTCTTAGTCGAAATTTTGATGATAAAGCTGACTTTCAGTGTTGTAGGTACATTCTGTATGCTGAGAGGGGAAATAAAAGTTACATATGTAAGTTTGTGGGCAGCTGTCTTTAAGTCCTTATGCTTTAATTCTGGGCTTAACATTATGTTCTTATATGTCAAATAACTAATTTCAAAAAGTAAAGTACTGTTTTTTGCTGGTAATAGCTTGGTATAGGACTTTTGTTACTAATTCTGATGGGAGAAGTTTCTTTAAAGTTCTGTGTGATGAAGCATAACCTATGAAAGAACTATTGTAACTGATCCGAGAATAGAATTTGATACTGTGAATGACCTAGTGTAATTCATTCCTGTATAAAACTAACACAGCTTGACCTTAGGACTACCCTTCCAGGAAATAGTCCATGACTGCAAAGTTGCAGTTTTACTAGATGCTTCTGCAAGAAGCAAATGGCACAGCATTAGTAGAGAGAACTTTGAGTACTAGCTTTTTTAAGGTGGTTACCTACTGTCATGAGTGCTTTAGGAAACTGCTTTGTAATAACCTTGGTTTAGTAGTTTAGAAGCATTTTTATATGCTGGGGGAAAAGAAAAAAACCATGAGTGTGTCATCTGGTGCTCAGGCATTTCATCTGTTCATTTTTTTTTTACTTAAGCTGCAGCAGGATGGAGCTTTGTCTGTCTTTGTCAGGATTTTCTAGTTTCTACTTCAGAAGTTTTACTGCTGTTTTTTATTTCTGTACCTGAATTGCTTTCTTTTAAAAAAAAAAATTACTTAATTTGGAAAGCTAGGACCATGCAAATTTGATATCTTGTAAATAAAAAAAATAAGAAAAATACTTTCTGGCAGTATTTTTAAAAGTAAGTAATACTTTTAAAAAATAATACTAGGAGTATGACTTTGTTGCTGTTGTTGAAAATAGGTTCCAGCAACGGACAGAAATGCTTTGAGTTCTCTATGGGGAAAACTGGCATCTGAAATTCTGATGCAGAATTGGGATGCAGCCATGGAAGATCTCACAAGACTAAAGGAGACAATAGATAATAATGTAAGTACAGTCTTGGTCACGTATGTAAGGTGAGAGGTTAGAGATGTTAGTATTCAAGTTTTATTATGAATCACTTGCAGTCTTGTTTAGGAGTAGTTTACCACCTTTTCACTAGGTACTTTCTTAATAATAGTAGGAGAGTTGAAAGGTGCTCATGCAGAAATAGTGTAGCTTCCTTTTTCAAATTACTTGCTTCTCTCATCACATTTGAAAATGTAGGTGAGAAATTTTAAGGTATTTCCAGTAAACAAAGAAAACCTAGTCTCAGGGATGAGTTTGAGAGCAAGGTATTGTGTGAAGTAGTTTACTGCTGGAAGTTGTCTTACTCATTTTCTGTAAAGAATAAAATGTGTATAACTAGACTGTACTCTTCTCACATGAAGATAACACTTTTAACAGAACATGTAAGACAGCTTGGTTTTGGAAATAATTTTCAGCCAACTCTGCTTCCTCACCAGCTCCTGAGTTCTGATGAGCACCAAGAACAGGAGGGGAAGAGTGGGGCTGCAGTAGTAATTCAGAGCAACTGAAGTGATTAAGGACCTCTCAGTCTCCCTCTCTGCTCATGGGGCTTCAATGGCTGTATCTGAAATATGAGAGTTTTACTCATCTGAACTAGAATCTTGAAAAGGTGTTTGGTGTTTTGTCATCTGTCTTCCCTTCCCCTCACCCCATCGTTCTTTATTTATGTGGCAAATAACTAATGTTAACAAATTTTCTTCCCTAATTTTCTCATCTTTATGAACCTATATGGTTATAATAGACTGTTAAATTTGACTTGTTCATTAGACTCCAAGGTTTTTAGGATAGAATCATAGTAGTTAGTTGTCATGATCTCTGGAGTGATTATTACTTGCTATGGCAGTTCATTCTTAACATGTTGCTTAGCAATCTGTTTGAAGTGCTGCTGAAATTTGGATCTAATAACAGAACTGAATCCTTATTTGTGCATTATCAGCTGGTTTAAATGAAGATAGTTGCGTTCTTATTTCTTGGCTGAAAGTGATTATGGTGTTTCATCATTGTCTGAGAGCGTATGGCAAAAAAAGCTCTTGTGAGGCTTTAGAAAGGAAGAAAAACTGAAGAGTTAGAGAAGCCTCAGGTCACATCTGAAGAGGGAATACGAGAAACAAAATTGAGGATTAAAAAGGGAAGTAATAACTTATGTTAGGATGGTGGTCTTTGGAGAACTAAAATCTATGCTCTTGCCATAACAGAATACAAATTTTTGCAAACAAATTGAAATATAATATGGGAAAACTTATCTTGGGTATAACTCTCAGCAGATTTATCTTTGAGAGATGACACGTTAAAAAGCTGGAGGTCAAACTCAGCCTGAGAGTGATAACAGCTAAAAGGAGCCAGTGGAAAATCACAGATTTTTTTGAACAATTACAGGTTTCCATGCATTTCTATTCATGCAAGGTTACTGTGTTTTTATTTGACTTAAACCAATGTTATGTTTTCTTTTAGTCTGTCAGCTCTCCGCTGCAGTCTCTTCAGCAAAGAACATGGCTCATCCACTGGTCTTTGTTCGTGTTTTTTAATCATCCTAAAGGGAGAGACAATATCATTGACCTTTTTCTCTATCAACCACAGTAAGTTGTGTTGTGCTATGTTGGGGTCTTTAAATCAGAATGGAGGCAGATGATAAATATGCAAGCTTGTTGAACAGTTTTCAGCCCAAAGCCTGAAGCTGTTTCAGAAGTTGTAATGATATTAACACTTTGGATGTTTTTTTCCAAGCTTTTTAAAAAATTTTGTGTAGAATCTACTTTTCTTCGTGGTTATACTTTCCCCTTCAAGGAGAAGGGGAAACTCCTACCACATCTTCTAGGGCTGTAAGGGAAGGTACTGTTCTCCTTTGATTTTACAAAATCTACTTAAGAAGGGTTCTTGAGGAAAATCTGAGCACAAGAATGACAATTGAAAAACTGTAGCCATTTGTGAGAGGACTGACTTCTTATATGTAGATCTAGGAGTCTAGAACAGCTTAACACTGAGAAATTAGTTAAGTTGTGCTCTCCTTCTAGTACCTGATTGGAGGTAAGGTATTAGAATAGGAGAATAGTACTAAAGAAAAGCAATTGTTTTTTTTTTTTCATGGTGATTCCAGTAGACTGGTAATTTGTAGTGGGTTTTTTGCCTCCTTTTTGTTTCATAGTGTGTGTGTTTGGTTTGGGTTTTTTTAATTTATACTTCTCACTTGTAATTATAGGCTAGTTGATTGGACTGTTGAACAGGAAAGTTGCAGGCTCGGATGACAATATGAAAAAGGACTTCCTGTGCTTCTGTGTGCCTGTGCAAACTCCTCTTGTGAAATCAGTGTAGCAAACAGTTTAGGCCAATGTTGACCTGAACTTAGCATGTAGACTGTTCTTCTGCAGTGCTAGCACCTTTTCTTCTCTCCCTAGGGCACTGCTGCCTTCTCTTCCCCTTGCATCCCTCTCTCCTTCCTCTGTCCCAAAAGGATGATCATGAGGTTAACAAAAATAAATCATCCTTCTGTATTTGAGTAAATGGTCAGTTATAAGCACTGGTATTGTATTGGATAAAAGATGCATAAGTTATTTATCATGAATACTGTTTTGATGCAAAATTACATTATCTGAGCTTTATCTGTATGTTTTTCTTTCTAGGTATCTCAATGCAATTCAGACAATGTGCCCACATATCCTCAGGTATCTGACTACTGCAGTCATAACAAATAAGGATGTTCGAAAACGTAGACAAGTGCTGAAAGATCTAGTCAAGGTTATTCAGCAGGTAAGGACTGAAATATTTTATATTTTCTGTCCTTTTTTACTGACACTTCATAATAACTTTCTTCTCATAATATAACTGGTTTAGGACTTCTACTTATGTATTTTGGTGCTCACTTTCTCTCATTGAATTAATTTTTCATTGTGAAGTAAAATGCATGTCAATCCGTAGGAGAACAGAATAATTTTTTTTTCTTCCTTTCATGTCAACAAGCAATGAGTGAAATTGGATATGCCCTCAATTTTACTTTTCACTCTGCAAGATTAAGTGCAGAAAATTCAGTGAGATATGTGAGGTGGCTTTGGATCTGATTCTTCTTTTTCAGCCATTCCCTCAAGGAGTTGTTATATAAATAAGGGATCTTGTTTGCATTTCAAAACCACTGAACTGTGTGCATTGTCTTGTGTTCATGTGCATTTTCTTGAAAATGCTTTTATTGTGACAATTGTATGAGGATGTAGACATGGACAAGAGCAATAAAACAATTGTGCTTGATAGCAATCAAGGGGGTTATGGCAAAGATTTTTATCTGAAATCAGCATGCACTTTTATACAAGCCATGATGCTTCAAACACTTTTAATGATAATAACATATGTTGTGAATAACTATTTTTTTATATATATATGTGTGACAGTGCGGTTATTACAGGCTGGCAATGAATTACATCCACTTCAAGCATTGATCTAACTACCTATGCAAGGCACAATCAATGCAAAGATCAAATTTTAAGCATATCTTAATCTGTTTTTAAGCATTAGTGTTCACAGAAGTAGTATACAAAGCTATAAACTAGTTGTAGTATTAAGTCTTATCTTTTATCTTAAGCTAAAACCTGATTTTAGCATTGGACTTCCAATGTAATATGAACTTCTAATATTAGAAGTAAAGTAACATTTTACAAAAGCAAAAAAAGTTGTTTTATCTTGTACAACTGGTATGAATAAAAAGGGATCACTAGGGTGTTCCTTTTGAAATTATCAACTTTTTGTTTTGAAATATCTGATAAGAGATTTATTTCATAGTACTCTTCTCTGTATGGTTCATTATATTAAATCATGAAGTAGTAGGAGTTTTACAGATTTGAAAGCAGTTCAGACAGGGTAACTAATGACTCTTCTACATAGGAAAAACAAAGCATTGAATGAAGTGATTTGTCAGATGTCATATGGTAGGCTGATTGCTGTACTAGCAATTAGATTGCCAATACCTTTGCAAGTATTGAATGGATAGGTAAGCAGTTTGTTGTTCATCTCTATTAAATTTAAAAGATGATCGGTCCAAGACTGTTTTACATAGCAGATGTCAGTTATGTGATTAACACGTACAACTTTGATGTAAAAAAACTTTATCTATAAAACTGAATTTTAAACCTAATTGATGAGACTGTGAATATAGTTCTTGGGGAAGGAAAAATAACTTCGATCCAGAAAAAAATTCTCTCTTAGTAATTCCCTTAATCTGCTGATCTTTTTGCATGCTAAAGCAGATATTGACAGATACTGAGTTAAACTGTATTAAAATATGCATTAGAGACATATCAGAGGATGTTTTATTTCGTCTTCATTTACACAGGTGTATGTAGATCTAGTACTGTTCTGCCTTGTAGTTAAAGTTCAGTAATTCCTGTAATGCCAAAATAAATTCAAGTGTTTTGTATATATAAAGTAGTGTTATTTATGTTAGCTGTGTTGTCCATGTAAATCAAATGATCATTCAATTTGAAGTATGAAAGATTTGGTCTTGGATTAGTTTTTAAATCAGAATTTAGGAAGAATATCTATTCTACCGTATTTTAAGAAATTTGGAGGTTGGATACAGAAGCAGCTCTAGTCCCTGACATGTTTCTAACCCAAAGGTTGTAGCACTAAGTGCTGAAGGTGACACTGCACTTCTGGTTGTTTAACCATACTATTGGGGGGAAAAATGAGCATGTCTATTCAGCTTTTATAAGAGGAATTGGGAAGTTTAACTTACTGTTTTATTTAAGATGATGTGTGGACTTGTTTCCAATATTAAATTTTGTTTTGAAGAATATAAGGAATACTCAAGAGATCTTGTGGCCTTGATTTCTAATATTGTTCCTAACTTTTTTTGACAGGAGTCCTACACATACAGGGACCCTATCACAGAGTTTGTGGAATGCTTGTATGTTAATTTTGATTTTGATGGTGCACAGAAGAAACTGAGAGAGTGTGAAACAGTAAGATTTATAACATTTATAAGACTTTTCTTCCTTTAAGTAAAGAACTCTCAAATTCACAATGGCCAACTAATTTGTTTGAAGTGGTGTTTGATTCCATTGCTAATGTTTTCTGATGAGCTTGAATTCACAGGTGTGTGGTGTTTTGGGGTTGGTGTTTTGTTTTGTTGGTTTTGTTGTTTGTTTGGGTTTTTTGACAACTAATTTTGTAACACTTAAACGAGTCTTACTGGTAAGGATATAGCTTTAAAATTATATTTAAGCAGTTCTAGAACAAGAAGTGAATAGGTAATCATTGATTTGGCTGAGCTTCAGATTTTCCATTAGTGTTTGAAAAGTGCTTGAAGAAAAGCTTGGATCTGCCTTTTGTTGTGAAAGATACCGCATCCTGGAATTGCAATGGTGAAAAGTAATGTGGAATAACATTAGGATAGTTAAATACATATTGTTGGAAAAATCTTGGTTAATCTACTGTAAACAGCCAAAGATACTTAACACTTGGGTTGACTAGTGTAAAAGTTAGTATTTCTAATAGCTGAACATTAGTACCAGTTCCTGCAGCTTCTAGTTCGGCTTTTCTTTCATTAGTATTAGTCACCTAATTAAGTCAGAAGACTTATCTTCACTGCATAGGGCCAGTGGTCCTGTAATTTGAACTTCATAGGCGCACTTGCACTGCTAAGTAGGCTGGTTTGCATCATAAGGAGAATGCTGATCAAATTGCAGAGTGAGAGAAGAATCCTACAATGAGAGGGGAGTTAAATTTTACCTGTTGGAGGCACCTTCAGTAGAATTAGGAAAGCAGCTGACCTTGTTCTCTTCTTGAGTCAGACCTCAGTGATCACGGTAACATGTGATTTTTAATTTAGCAAGCCGCAGAACAATGCAAATTTCCACTAAATATGTAGCTTTTTCTCCACATCTTGGAACACACCAAGAGCTGTTTTTAGATGAACTGTTCACTGGTTTTGCTTATTGACAGTGTCTACCACTAAACTACTGCTTCCATGTTTGTTCTCAGTGTTCTCTTTCTCCTTGCGGTGGCAGGTGCTTGTGAATGATTTCTTCTTAGTGGCATGCCTTGAGGACTTCATTGAGAATGCCCGTCTCTTTATATTTGAGACTTTTTGTCGCATCCATCAATGTATCAGCATTGGGTAAGATAACTTCTTAATATGACAGTTCAGAAAAATCAATCATGGGTGACAGTTTGACAAACAGTGTAAACTTTAGTAGTAAAATAATCAGTTATCAAATGAAATGAAAGTCATTAACTAAAATTTAATTTGATAGTTGTCTTTCTAGTTTTATATCTGTAATGTGATATACTTAAATTACAACAACTGTATTTTAAAGTTGAATTCTTGTGGTTAACTTTAAAAAAAACCTCTCTCTGGCACCCCCAGTCCCTCAGACAAACAGTGTTTTCAAGCTAAAACTTTCTCATGGTGTTGAGTTAGGTCTCCGCTGGATTTAATGGGAACTTTCATACCCAATGTCACCTAAGTCCAGCTGTCGTAATTTGGAGGTAAATTCCGTGTTTATTGATACGGAGTGGTAATATTAAGTAAATACAAATTGTAAATACAGCAACTGCTTGATTATATTTGGTAGATACAGATACCTATGTCTGTCTTGCAGGTATGTTCTTTGAAAATTTAGAACTGTATTTTTTTTTATTAATTAAATAGAAAACAATAGGTCGTCTTCCCTGCGGCACAGAGTGAGTGATCCAGCTATAAGCAAATGATGTTCTTATTAGCAAGGTTGTTTACTCAAAACTTTTTAAAAGCAGACTTTTCAAATGGTTCAGCTCCGATGCCTCTATTGTAAGAACTAAGCAGGAAGATGTTATGCATGCTTGAGATCCCTTTCCACTTGGCCTTTGCCCCCATTCCCCATATTTCCACATCCCTTAAATTAAAAAGGAAAAAAGTGAAGTGAAAAACTCTGAATGCTATAAAAATCTCAATGGTAGAGAACAGTGCAGAGATCCTTGAGACGACAGAAACCAAAGCTGTTAAATCGATCAAATTCAATGGGGGTCTTCTTACCAGCTTGTATCCAGAACAGATGTTGGTCTGGTCCTCTGGGGAAGCGATTTAACAGTGCTTGATTTCGAAAGAAAAGGACTTGAGAGAATTGTCTTAAAATTTTTCAAGCTTATTGGAAGGATTACTTTTTTCATGGATAGGTATAATTGGAGAAAGGACAAGGATTCTTACTACTTTTAATATCTCTACACTGTGTGACATGTTTGTCTTCAATGCATTTGGAAAATGATTCTTTTTTTATCCTTTGTATCGGCTTAAAATACTTAATGAGTTCGATGTAAAAGACAAACAGTGAATCTGAACATTTTAATCAGCTGTGGTGTCTTGTGTTTTAAGCATAATCATAATAGTAAACTGAACTACATGTTGTAAACAAAACTTCCATACTTATGTTCATTTTTATAAGGAGGCTAATACTTTATCTAAAATTACTTTAAGTGGAGTACTGCACATTTAAGGATCAAGGAGTTTTAAATAAGTATTTGGAAGGAAAAATGTAAATGAAGTTCCCTTACGGTTGAGTTTCTGGGGCATATAAAACTTCATAGTGTCTTGCTATTTCCTATAAGTGATTGTTAGTACTTTTAATACTGCACATGTTCAAGCACAAGTTTTCAATGAAACTAGGCGTTTAAGCTTTTTTAACTAAAGACCAGGTGTCTTTCTAAGAAGTCTGCTTCTATGATCTGGCTCCAATCGGTGAGGATATATCTTAAGTATGCTTCAAGTCTGTGTGTCAAAAGATACTGATAAACTGTGGGTAGCATAGCGTTGATTCATTACAGCAAAAATAGCAAGCTTTGTTTAACGAATCAAGGTCTGTGGTACGTGGTTGTCATTTATTTCGTGTTTATTACTTATTTTACAGTTGTGCCATATGTGGTGTTTCAGTTTCAAGTATGATAGAAAATATTGTAGTTGCCTGTCCTTGTTACGTGTGATTTATAAATACAGGTACCAGTGGTTTTATTTTATAAGTGTTATGGCAAGTGATAAACTTACAGTTGAGACATATTTCAGATTGACCTGGATGTTCCTACCACGTATCACTCCAGGTAATTGCATGTGGGATCAATCATCAGTAATGAGATTCTTTTCAGTAAGTCATTGTGTTTTAAATGATGGACATAAGCCTTAAATTTCTGTGCAAGCTATAATAATCATTAGATTTGGGCTTATTAAGTGGGGTGCATAAGTATATCTTAGTGCATTTCAGCCATGTTTTTGAAGAAATGAGCCAATCAAAATGTTTTTAATTTAAACACTTGACTGAGGCATAGTTCTTGCATTTCTTCGTTCACAAATTATTTCCACTGCTGTTCCTGGAGTTGAAAACTAGTTGGTTGTACCAGAGTGCTTGATAAGTACTGTTTAACTATTCAGAACAAATTTGAAAACAATTAGTGGGAAATGTGCTATTCCTTATGTTAAATGGAAAATAGATGACTCATTAAATGTTTTTTTTTAACTACTTACATCTATTAGGGAGACGACATTTTTCCAAAGGATGTAGTTACTTTAGCAGTTGTAATTTAAAATTTATACATCTCAAATCATCGTGTAATTAGTTTACTGTTTGAAATATTATGTTTAATAGGGAGTAATAGATTAAAAGAATGCAGAATGTGTTTTGGTTTGTTTGATATGCCTGTGTTTAGTTGAAGAGCTGAATATGCTTCACTTCTATATATTTTTCTTCTGTGTGCAGTACAAGATAGGCTTGTTTATATATGAAGATGTATGGAATTCAGTAAACTTGCCTTTTAAGCAAAGGAAGACTTAAATAACACCTGCACTAGGACAACCTAAATAAGTGAATCTGCTTATAAAACAGAGGGACAGAAATAATCCAAAGAACTGTTTTTGAAGCTACTGTTGGGAAACTACCCTTTGAATTCATCTGTAGCTTGAGATGGTAGACAATATTCCTTAAACATTAATAAAATTGTTTCATTATATTTCACTAATTTTTATGGGATTATAGTGGGGATCTTTATAAACTCTAGTAATCTAAAGTAAGACTTTTCTTGCTTCTATTCCTTAGTATTAATGGTGTTAGTATGTATTTGTAAATCTGAATGTGTCACTGTTACTTGAACTGTTAAACATGTATGGGGGCTAAGCTGTAGTTTGCATCTCTTGAGAGTATTAGATACTTATTTTAACAGTGCAATAGGAAAACAATTGTGTTTGTTATATAATTGTAATCAGGATAGATCTCCTGTGTGTTTTCTGTGGAAGGATGGAGAATGCTTTTTTGGCTGTGTGTGTTGCTTTACCAGGCAAATACCTCCTCCGTGTTACACATCCAGGCACTTGATGTAGTCCACACTTTCCTGGAGTAATTAATCTAAACTTTTGTGACTACTGGCTGGATTTAAATGAGAATAGTTGTTACTTGATAACTTTGCTTATTTTATATTAAAATTTTAAGTTCATGTAAATCTCAAAGCTAGAGGTTGAGATAAAATAGGTTTTTATATCCCTTTTTACCCTGTCACTTTCATTCTATGATTTGTAAGCTTTTTCAGGTGCATGTACAGGAAAAATTACCTGTACAGAGGTGTGCTACTTCTGTCATGTAGCTGCATATATGCTGTATGTTTATTCATATAACATGTTTCAGTTTGAAAAAAGCCCACCTCTGAAGAAGCTGAGCTAGTAAAATTTAGACGTAACAGGAAAAAGCAAAATCATCTGCTAGGTGATGAAAACACCTTCTGGTTTCTGGCTTGGAATGACTCTCTAGAAGTCTGTGCCCTCTTCCCCCCGCCAGTACACAGGGACTTTCAGGTTAAACAAAAAGGTGCTGTAGGTTGGAAGGGACCTCTGGAAGTTACCTGGTTCAATCCTGTGCACCCAACTAAAGCTCTGAGCAGGACCCACTGCAGTGTTCCATTATGTTACTTAAGGCCTTGACTAGTTGATTCTTGACTATCTCCAAGGATAGAGGTTTTACACTTTAATCCCAAAGGTGGGTTGCTTAATCCCCAGTGTAGTGGCAGTAGCCATTGTTGTAGTTGTCTGAAGGATGAGTTATTTCTATCTGAATCCTATTGATGCTTCTAAAAGAAATATGAGAATTCCCATAACACACATACATCCCACTCTGTGTTCTTTCAGTTTGAAATTTCTTTAGTTTCAAGTCAGGTACTTAACATCACTGATTCAGAGATAGTAAAGCGATTTGTAACTTCTTCCTGTTGAAATATCTTGTCTTATTCTGCCTAGATGACTGATAATTCAACAAAAATTTACATCCCTGATACCTTCTGTTCTGTTAACTTGCCTTAATGCTCTACAATTGCTCATTCAACCATAGATTAACAGTTCTAATGAAACAGTAGAAACTGTGGTTGGAATTTACTTCCCCTTGCTTTGCCAATCTCCAGATACTTTGTTGCCTGTTTGTTGTGTTGTTTCACTGCAGTGAGTTCAGGGTAAGTCCAGTGTTTTGAATTACTTTGAGTGTGTTTTTTTTCTATTCACCTCGCTTGGTGTTTGTCTGTGACAAAAAAATGGAATTTACTTTTATAGCTGGGAGAAGGGTGAGAGATCAAGAACAACATACAGGAGAGAAACCTCTATAAAGAGGACTATATAGATAGTCTAGCTAGGTAGATGAGGTAATAATTGATATATTATAAAGTATTTCCTTAACATTCACAATTGTCAAGAGGGAAAGCGCTCTTTCAGGTAGAGAAAAATGTGTTTAAGCAAGATCCTGTAAAATGGTGGGAAATTGACCTCTTGTGCAACTCAGCATAGCCAGCTGGCTTTTAGTCATGTTTGTAGCCTTTACCTCATGTTTGTTACCCTAGTTTGAAAGCTGATGGAAGAATGAGCATTACAAATGTCCTGTATGAGCCAACTACCAGCAGGAAGCTAAAGGAATTGGCTGGAAAGCCACAGGAAATGCCATCAGAAGGAATTATTCCTGGACAAGAGTGCTTGTTTCATTAAGAATTTTCCTTTCTTTGTCCTCTCCCACCATCCCTCCTTGAAATTGCAAGAAGTTTGAGCATAGTGTATCTGTCACATCTTCTATACCAAACCCTGTCTTACGACTCCTGTTCCTAAAACTTCAGGGTGAAGTTTATTGCTGAATGAGCTACTGAGACACACTTTCCTGGACAAAGTAGTCTAAAATTTTGTGACTACTGGCTGGATTTAAATAAGAATAAAAGCAGTTCATTTGTTCTCTTCATAATGATGGTTGCTGTTTTACGTTGTGGTGACATTACTTAATTGACAGTTTTCCAAAGAACGTTAATGTAGGCAAGGTTTAATAGGAATGTATAAAAATTGTATAGGTCAAGATTTACATGCAAGATGATGTAGTTCAGAACAACTAAGTATATATTTTCAGGATGTGAATTACCTATTCACAATGACCCAGTGTAAAGCAGTGGGGATGGGAGATGTACAGAAGTGCGTGTATGTAAGCTTTGAAGTCATTTAGGTCAAATGAAAGTATGCTTCCCAGATATGTGCTATATACTGAATACAGGTCTTGGGCTGTGCCAGATTTTGTGTTGGTTTAACTTGTATTCCATAGGCCTTAGTCGTGTTTACGAACATCAGAGGAGTTCTATTTCACTTTTTGATTATGTCTGTTATCTTTTAGTATGTTGGCAGATAAACTAAATATGACTCCTGAAGAAGCAGAAAGGTGGATTGTCAATCTAATTCGAAATGCACGATTAGATGCCAAACTGGATTCAAAGCTGGTAAGACTGTATAGATTATTCCAAATGAATTTGTAGAATTTTTCATTAAACTTCTTTTACCTGATTCAGGAACAGTGAATTCTAACTTCTACTGGTGTGGGTTTTTTTTTTTCCTTTGGTCATAAAGTGTAGTGGACTTCATTTATTCTTTTTTGATCCTGTGTGTAAGATTTTTGAAAGCTCTGAAAGCAGAGCATTAAATTGAAGGCATTTGCATTCTGAGTGATTGTTAAATTTACTGTATCTTTCTTGTGTTTTAGGGCCACGTAGTCATGGGCAACAATGCAGTCTCACCTTATCAACAGGTGATTGAAAAGACCAAAAGCCTGTCTTTTCGTAGTCAAATGTTGGCTATGAACATCGAGAAGAAATTGAATCAGAGTGGTAGATCTGAGGTTGGTAGAAGTCATGTTTTTCTGAATTTCTGCTTTTTTTTTTGTGAGATGTATTTAAGTATAATTCCTAACTTGTTCCTTAATTCATCAGATATATATCTACTTCCGATTCTGACATTACGTATTGAATTGAAAAGATTTATTTTCTTATAGTGAGCATTAGACAATGAGTCTTATTTTCTTCTTGCCTCTCTTCTCATCACTAGGTATTCATTTTTTTTTGTTGTTGTGTAACTAGGTGTGCTTCTGTCATTGTTCGTTTCTCTGCTTTCTTTAAATAGTCTCCTTCACTGCCTGAAAAGGACTGGTTTTGAAGGGTGATGTTTATAAAAGTAGTTGTATTACTTTTTTTCAAGTGGGTTGTTCTTGAAAAGTATCTGTAGGTATGTATATGTATAGAGAGAAGAATGAATGATGCTTAAGACTGGAACATGAAGTAGAAGTTGTGCATAAACCCTAACTGTGTTAAACCCATTTCATGAAATATTATAGAATATAATTAGATCAGCCAGAGGTTTAAGTAGAACCAGTGAAAATAAGGAAGTTGGCAAGATCATCTGGTTTTGCCTCTGGCTACTTTATGATATGGGAAGATGTGTGAGAGAGAAAAACAGTGTAAGGTGGATGACTCTGAGGTCCACTAAGGACCCAGCCATACATACTTAACCCAAAAAAAAGCCGAACCACGTATTGAAAGAACTTACAAAGTATTAAAAGTGGTGGTGTGCTTCTTCACTGCTTGCCTGAAATATTGATGGAAGTTGGACAAGCAGTGGTGAGTTAGTATATTCCATTAAAGGGAAGTCATGTGAAACTTAATGTGATATTATTTTCTTTAAAAACTATAGCTGCCAAATTATTTTTATATTTATTTTGGAATCTTCTAAAACTTCCTTTTTGAAACTACTAGCTTGGGAGACTCAGGCTGTACAACTTAATTGCAGCATGTATTTCTGCTGTATCAACACTTGCCTTGAACTTACAGGGTATCCTTCACTAATTAACAATATTCCCACTTTTTAGCCATATATCAGTATTATAAATGTTTTTAATAATTTCTCATAAATTTCAGTAACCAGTAGATAATGTAGTAATTTCTTGTCTACTGATCTTTATTTATTTATTCTTTAGGCACCTAACTGGGCTACTCAAGACTCTGGCTTCTACTGAAATACTTCTGCAGAGGGGGGAAAAAAAAAAAATCAGTTTTCATTTGACTAAAAAGCACATAAATATGTAACTTTTTTGGAAAAAGGTAATTATGTGCTCCATCTAACATTATTTGAATAAAATTGGCTAATTTTACCAGTCTGTGCATCTCTTTAAGTTAAATAGATAATTGTGTTGTATAGGGGCTTTTTAGCATCACAATGTTCTGAAGCATTTTGGATCACAGTTTGCAAAATTTTAAATGTCAGTTCTGTTAATTTGTTTGTACTGAAGGATGCTGTTGCTTTCAGAGCTGTCTGAGTGTGGAAGCGGGGAATTACAGTTAGTTATTATCTGTTGCAAACCTCACACAAAAGATTAAAAGTGGATGGTACGAACAAATGGTTTCCTACCGAACATCTGGCCAAACAAAAATATTTTTTTCTACACTTCCATATTTTTCTTTGTTTTGTCACAGAAGAAGCTTGGTAGAGTGAAGGCATGTGTAGCCTACACCTTTTATGAAACTTAGCATAATCTACATGCAGAATAATTGGTGTAGACCTGTGTGATCATGCTTCAGAATTTTTCCTGTTTTAAATCTTATTTTTAATCTTGCCCAGTCTTGGAAACTTTCTGGAGTAGAGCTTTTTGTTTCAGGCAGGGAAAAGTCTTTCAAAAGATCTAAGGAGCTCGGTATGGTTTACAGCTTTTATTTTGAAATCTGAAGTTGTTAATATTCATAGAATCATAGAATCATTATGGTTGGAAGAGACCTCAAAGATCATCAAGTCCAACCGTACACCTGATGCCACCCTGTCCACTAAACCATGTCTTGAAGTGCCACATCTAAACGTTTTTTGAACATCTCCAGGGAGTATTCTTCAACTGTTACAATTTGAAGGATTATTTTTTTTAAGTTTCTGAGGCTTTTTTTCAGCCAGTGTTTCACACTTCACTGGGTTTCCTTAGCACCTTTGCACTGCAGAATGTATCGTGGCATTTCTAAGCCAGAAAATCCAAGATCCTTTTTAGGGTTCTATGCATTAATAGAGACTGATCACTGAGGTGAAAGTGTCTCTTCCTTTGCAATATTCACAGTCTGCATACAGTTTTGCATTTAAGGTTGAGGGGAAAATTTAATGACTCGCCTTCACCTTATTCTAGCTGTGTACCTTTTTCCCTCTTTACTTTGAAAGTTCTGGAACTCATCTATGTATGGAAAGTTGTTTTTACTCATCAGCCTTCCTGCTTACTGTCTGCAATTACATGTGGAACTCATCTATGTGTGGAAAGTTGTTTTTACTCATCAACCTTCCTGCTTACTGTCTGCAATTACATGTTGGCTGTGAAACAGCCAGAGGAACCGATTTGTGCATGAAGATGGCAGGTGTCTGTCTTCAGAAGTGATTTTCGAGGCAGGATTTTATTTTTACTCTTCCATGTCTATTGCTGTACTATGTACAGGGGGAAGTAGTCCATATGTTGGAGGGCTGGGTTGCAATTCAGGGGAACTGCAGCAGGTTGGAAGAAGTTGTGCATCTGGGATGGAGTAACCTCATGTAACAGTGCAGGCAGGGGTCATGAACTAAATGGAAAGCAACTTTCCAGAAAAGGACTTGGGGATACGGTAGACAGCAAGGTGAACACAAGTCAGCAGGTGCCATTGTGGAAAGAGACATGCCTATAGCAGAACCATTTCTGTACTGCCTGGACTTTATTAGCAGAGTACAGAACCAGTAGGTTTATGGAAATTATTTTTCCTCTTGTGAGAACACTGCTGGAGTACTGTGACCAACTTTGGGCTTCCAAATACAAGGCAGATACTGATCCTCTGGTGCGAGTTCAGTGGAGGGATACCAAAATGCTGAGGAGGCAAGAGCGTGTGACATAAAAGAAGAAACTTAGGGAGCTGAGTAATGTTCAGCATTAAGAAAAGAAGGCTGAGACCAGACTTTATTGCTGTCTTCAGTCCCTTCTGTGGGAGGATTCACAGCAGGACTGGTCTTGAAGGTGCATGGGGACAGGATGAGTGGCAATGGATGCAAATTGAAACATGGGGAAATTCCAGTTAGATTTAAGGGGGAGTAAAAAGGTTGGTTTGTGGATTTTTTGGGGTTTGGTTTGGGTTTTGTTTGCTTGGTTTTTTACTATGAAGGTGATCAAGCACTGAAACCAGTCACCCAGAGGGGTTATGGAATCTCCACCCTTGGAGGTGCTCAAGTACCTGGCCATCCTGATAGACTGAGACTTGCTTTGAGCAGGGAGTTGGAGTCAGTGACCTCCAGAGGTCCTTTCCAGTCTGAATTATTTTATGATTTAATGTGTTGTATTTATGAATATACATACTAATAACTTACTTGAAAACATTCTTTAATACAGCAGAGTAATGGGAGTGGTTTCCGGCAGATCGTTTACTCTGTCTTCTCATTGTGCTATTGTCTAATCCTATAATGCTCACAGTTGTAAAAACGGAGGGAAAAAAGGGGGCAAAAATCATACCTTCATAACTTGGAAGGTGATAGGTGTACAGGGCATTTGCAAGGAGAAGTGTTCTACCATTACATAAAAGATTGTAGAATAGTTAGAACTGGGATAGATGTGGGGTGAGGATGTAATTAACGGTTGTTTCTTTAAACCTTTTTCTTTTTCCTAGAAAGCATTGGGTTTTGGTTACTAGCACATTCAGTAGGTGCTCTGGTTTTGCAAGCAGCTTCTTCTACACTTTCTCCTGTGTATGCCCCTTGGCCAGTTGTTCTTGCTGTAATGCAATACTCCTTTCGTCCAAACCCCTTGTGCTGCACAACTCTTTCTGCCTTCAAAGAACTGATCTAGCTATAATCATTGTGCTTCGTTATGTCTTTTGTCTTATGACTGTCAAAACAGTTGTGCTGGCCTAGCAGATGGAATTTAAGAAGTGGTGGAAATAAGGAGTTACAGGTAGATTGCTGCTGGACTATATATACCAATGCAAAAAGATGGTCTACAGCTCAAGGATTCATTTTATTTATGTATAGGATTGGTTCCTTTGATGGGAATGAAGAATCTGAATGAGAACTGAAGTTAGTGAGTTGCCTTTGGAGAGGAGAGTTTCCTAAGGCTGAGCATGCTCTTTATGCCAAATTTCTTTTGTTCCTCAAGTTTTCTCTTAAGAGATTGATCAAATTGCAAACTCTAGATGCATTCTATATCATTACAGCCCAAAACACACACTTGAAAACAATCCACGTTGTGTCATAGCCGTGTTCCCTGTTTCATGTAACAATCACGAAAGTGTGGTTTTGTAATAATTAAAGCATTTTTAAATAAGATAAAATAGGAATGTTTTTTGTAAACAGCAGGGAAATGGCCCACATTCAGCTTTCCTTTTGACAGGAAGAATTTGCTTATAGTCAGAGTTTTAAAGTCATCTCAGGAGCACAATACTGTGTTGTTATAGCTTTCCATTCTGTTTTTTTTGACCTTTCATCTATCAGGTGTGCATGCGTAGAAAAGGTACATGCAGATTGCAGCACTGCTTAATTTCTTGGTAGTTTCCCTGCAGGTACTGAATGAAACATCTGTTACATGAACAGTTTTGAGGCTTGAGAATTTTTTCCATGTGTAAACCTTAAAGGAAAACCAATTCAAAATGATTACAGTATTTTCTGTAAATGTATTGTGCATCAAGATATTTTGTTGTCCCCACACTTGAATTCCTACACCAACAAGCTCTGTACATCTCAGAGGGTCCCCCATTAAAGAGTTCAGTCCAGCTCATAAAAAACCAACACTTTGACTACATTCATGTGCAGTAAATGGTCATGACTTTTTTGGGGGTCCTTTTTAGGAAGCTCAATGGGTGAAGTTTGTTCAGCTTGCTGTAAATGTAAAACTAATGCTTTTGTGGGTTTGTGGTGGTTTTTTTTTTTTTTTGGGGGGGAGGGAGGTGGTGGGTGAAGAAGGTCATGGTTTTGCACTAGCATTTATATCCTGGTGCAGTGATCACTGAAATCACTGATTTAAGTATGCAGTCAGGTGGTTTTCAGAAGAAGAATTCAAAATGAGGATTCATATTGCTTTCTGAAAGAGACATTTGCCAGTCAGTTCACTAAAATGGGAATCATAAAAATGATGTGAAATTCAGAGCGAACTGTATTCACTGGTGATATCTCAAGTACCTGCAAGTATGTTTTAAGTAACATTTCGAATTTTCTGAAATTCTTATTTCAGATGAAAGGGATTTTTAAATAAATTATTTATTTGTATTACTTCTGTCAGTCACCTGACATTGTCTCTGCCTAGGAGAAGTTGTGAAAAAGTTCGTCTCTCTCTTTAAAATAAAAACCAAAACATAAGGTGGTTATAGGGTTGGAGAGGAGTGCATATGTTCTGAAACCCATCCTCTGTTACGCAGTTAGGGTAATGTTGCTAAAATCGTTATCTTAAATTGCATAGATCTCACCTGGTTTTGATGGGTGAAAGCGGAATGCCTCATTCAAAATGTAGGCTGTGAAGGGCTTTAGTTCCAGGTGACTCTTGGTAAAGTAAATCTACTGTGTGCTTTCAGTGACTCAGTAAGAATTTAGGCCCCTAATTTCTTTTCAATACATGCTAGCACTGCTGTTTGGAGAGGAAAGCTTTGTTGAACCTAAATCTCAAAGTATGAGCCCTCTCATGGGATGCACATGACAGTGCTGTGACAGCTCTGCCCTGCCCCTTCCAATGCTCGCCAAACAGCTTTTCTGTATGGCTGAACGTGTGCTCAGGAGGGCCTGTGGCCATAGGTATTGATAACGCACTGTCTTCCTCACACAGGGAATCTGGGAGGTCTTTGCAAAGTAACTTGAGTTCCGACTGAATTACACAGGGAGGGGAGAGCAGAAGAGGGAAGGCAAAACATGTTCTCAGCCAAAGGACGAAGCTGGCCAGAGCACGAGTTTGCAATAGGTTGGCAGTAGATGAAACTTACTTCAAGGATGACAATTGCAAATTCTGTCATAACTTTCCATTGACTAAGCTTTAGCAATCTCATTAGTAGCAGTATTCTATAAACATCCAAGAATAGTTGTTCTCTTCTTTAAATTACATGAAGATAATATCCACTTTGTGCCTCTAGTTTTGGCTTTACTTTTACAAAAATATTTGTAGTAACTTCCAAAGGAAGCCCTTGGAAAGGAGCG